TCAACAAATTGAATAGTGGTTTTGCAATTACTCCAAAATTTCGGACAAAACGACGATAGTATCCTGCGAGGCCCAAGAAACTGCGGACGCCCTTGACATCTTGCGGAGAGGTCCAGTTAGCCACTGCTGTTATCTTGGTTGGGTCTGTGGCTACTCCATTCGCGCTGATGACATGCCCCAGATAAGAGACCTTACTTTGCCCAAAAGCACACTTACTGTATTTTACTTTCCATTGGTCCTTGCGCAGCAACTCCAGCACCTGCCTCACATGGCACTTGTGCTCTTCCAAAGAAGTACTGAAGATTAAGATGTCATCGAAGAAACAGAGGACATAGACTCTTATGACTGGCTTAAGAGTTGTGGTTAACCCTTCAATGAAGGTAGGTGGGGCCCCTGTTAATCCAAATGATAACACCTTGAACTCAAAATGTCCCTGGTGGGTAGAGAACGCTGTTTTGTACTCTTCCCCCGGCGCGAGTCTAATCTGATGGTACCCCGCACGTAAATCCAACTTGGAAAACCAGGCTGCTCCGTGTAATTCGTCCAATAGTTCCTCGATAACTGGAACAGGAAACTTGCCCACCACAGTGATGACATTTAGTTGCCTGTAATTGATGCATAGTCGCCAAGTCCCGTCTTTCTTCTTCACCAGAATGACTGGAGAGGAAAAAGGGTTGTTGTTGCATTGAATAACACCAGATTTCAATAAGGCTTCGACTTGAGCTTCAATTTCTGTTTTCTGTTCTGGCTTGTAACGATACTGCCTGACATTGACTGGCCTTGCTCCTGGAATCAGGGGAATGTGATGATCGCACGCCCTCCTTGGAGGAAGTCCCACTGGTTCTTCGAACACGTCCGGGAATTGATTGACGATTTCCTGAATGCAATCTGGAGTTGGCTCCAGATCTTCTTGTGGAGGGGCAACTACACAGAGGTGTATGATATGAGAAATTGACCCTTTGTTGCACAGGTTTTGCAGCTGCAAACTGTTGATGGAATGGCAATCTGTGGAAGTTGCATCGTGTCCCACTAGCTGAAGCGGCCCTGCTGGTGTTGGGATTTCAATGACGCGCGCACGCCAGTCCACCTGCATCGGGCTGTGCTCCTCCAACCAGTCCATGCCCAAGATGACATCGTAAGTGCCCAGAGCCAGTACCTTCAGATCCGTGTAGAACTCGTGTCCTTGAGCATACCAAGCACATTGCGGGGCAATTTCCTTGCAAAGCAATTCCCCTCCGTCTGCCACACACACTCGGCTAGGCTTGTCCATTGGTTGGGCCCCTGAAAGCTTACCTGCCAATCTCTCATTGATGAAAGAGTTGGAACTGCCTGAGTCAACCAACATGAGTACCTCATGCCCCTGAAGCCAAGCTCGAAGCTGAAACGCCCTGGCTGACACTCCTCCTGTGACCGCAGAAACTGAAATGGCCATAGCAGTCTCTTGCACCCCCTCTTCTGAACTCACTTGTGTGTCGACGAAGTTGTCGATGCCAAACATGTCCAGCAGCTCTTCTACAACGTGCAGCTGCACTGAGGTGGGGCACACATGGTCGTGCCCCCACTTCTCGCCGCACTTGAAGCATAAACCACGGGCTCTTCGATACTCATGCAGAGTCTTGAGCTTGGAGGCCTCCGCGCGCGCTGTGTCAGTGCCACGGCGATCTGTTGTGACCGTGGCTGGGGGATGATGCACTGGAGGAGCCGGAAGTGGTAGCGGAACGCTGGTACGTTGAGGCAGCTCCTGGATGCGCACTGGTGGGGTACGCGCGCCATCGGCCACTTCTTCCTGCAGCAGCGCCAGAGCACATGCTGTATCCAGATCAGGAGGGCGTTGCACCATTACCACCATTCGTATGTCCGTCCGCAGGCCCTCGACAAAACGAGTCAAGAAATAGTAAGGATGCATAGTGTCTGAATAGGAACTCAAATGATTGATAATAATTTCAAACTTCTCAATATAATCTGCTACAGAAGTAGTTTGATGGATGGTAAAAAATTGTCTAATGAGCATCTGGTGCCTATCCCTGCCAAAACGCGTACCCAAGAGAGAGGTGAACGCGTCCCAATCGAACTCGTTGAGACGTTTCTGAATAGATTGCAGCCATATGGCCGCTGGCCCCGAGAAATTGAGGGCGGCCATGGGGACCCAGAAGGATTGAGTTATCCCAAACATGCTAAAGTACTGCTCACACAAAGTTTTCCATAGGTTCGGATTTTCGCCCGAAAATTGGGGGAAAACGATGGAGGGATGCGCCTGACCCAAACCCGTGAGCATTTGACTCGCGTGTGTGAACGGCGACAGCGGGGTGGGGGAGTTCAGTAGGGTGGTCTGACCTTTTGCCGGGGGCGGAGGTGGCGTCTCCAGCGACGCCACCGGATGCCCCTGTTGGAGATTGAACACGCCGTGGCCATCGGGCCCTTGCTGGTTGCTCGTTGCGCCTGCCGAGGTGCCCACGTGGTCCTCCAGCGGCTGCAACGTGGGTGCACGCTGGATCTCCTCCCCTTTGGGTGACGTAGGGGGAGCGGCTTGAAGGGCGGCCACCGCGTCACTGAGATCCGCGACGCGGCGCTCCAGATCTGGGCGCCAACTGAGGAGATCGTCGATTTTTGTTGATGTCGACTGGTGCGCCTTGGTGAGGCCGTCGATGGCGGCCTCGATATTCGTCTCGAACAGGGTGAGAAAGGCGGAGACTCCTGGATCCATGGCGTCACGAGCTTGGCGGAGGCCGCGCGTCTCGATGAGATGCGCCAAGACGGAGCGGAGCGGCGAGGAGTGGTTGCTGGCATCTCTGATACCAAATGATAAGGTAGCAGTACGGGATCGATCTATTGCTCTCCAAAGTAGTAGCTGTTACAGATCGAGTACATGGAGCGGTGCTCAAATGGGGGAAACAGGAAGAACTAGGGTTTGTGGGGAAGAGGGAGCCGCCGCCGATTCGTCCCGTGATCCTCTGGATGGTGATGCCGAGTCGCACGCCTCCTTTAGTAGCCGCGCGGGGCGGGCTTCAGTTAGCCCACGTCGGCCCGATGACGAGCGGGTTGGGCCTCCTGGCCCGTGTTGGCCGCTGAGCAGGGACGACGTGGCCTTGGCTGTCGCTGCTCGTTGGGTCCTGCTTGCCAGCACCGTTGACAGGTTGCCTGGTCAGTGCGTGTTGGGTATGGTTGTTGGGCTGATTATGTGCTTGTGGGTTTGCATGTTGTATGAGTAGTACACATATTGTTGGTTTGTGTCGCTTTTCGCCCGATTTTTTATTAATTAACTGAGCAATTTCCTTTTTCTTAATTAATCGATGAGGTAAATCTTTTATCTTTGTTTTGATTTTTTTTTTTTTGCTAAGAGTAGTGATTTTGGCTCGCTCGGGCTTGATCACTGATGCGAGATGGTCAACGACGATCATATTCGATCTTCGGATCGATTTGTATTCCCGGGCCATGAGGTTTTTGTTGAAAATCAGTTAGCTTATGATTGTGGGATTATACCGGATAGGCGATATTTCTCTTTACATGGACGGTGGATGGCGATCGTCAACCACGTTGTCGTCCGGCATAATAGCTGAGTCCTTGGAAGTTTGGCAGAAGGGACGATGACCGCGAAAGTACCATTCTACACCCAGAGCAAATGCTTCTGGTGTGAACAGTAAAATCAAAAAAAAATAGAAAAAAAATATAAAAAATTCTGAATTTTTTTATTGACATACTTTCACAAGTGTTTCCTGTGCATGGAAATTTTCATCACGAAATCACATTCATGGAAGTCGTGCCAAAAAAAACAAAATCAGAGCTACAAAATGCTTTTGTAAGTAACATTTTCAGAGCATCAATTTTATTTTTTTTACCACACCTTCCATCAATGTGATTTTGCGATGAAATTTTACGTGCACAACAAACATTTGTATAAGTATGCCACAAAAAAATTCAGAATTTTTTGACATTTTTTTGATTTTTTTTTTATTTTACTGTTCACACCAGGAGCATTTGCTCCTGGGTGTAGAAACTCCACGTCCCGATGACCGCTCTTGTTCAGATTGTTATTCATATATTCATCTTCGCTGATCAATGTGTTGTGCGTAGTTCGTTACCTTCTTGAGGATATGTAATAAATCTTGCTATTAATCTTGTGATGAAGTAAAATGTAGTTCAATGTTTTGATATTATATTAGGAATGGCGTTTTGGCTCTTGGCCTCCATGGAGGCCGTTTTTCTTTTGAAAAAAAATCGAAATTCAAAAATTCCGGTTAAAAAAATCTATTTTTTTTGTACAAGTAAACAGGCGTACGTGTATAAAATTTCAGGATAAAATACGTTGAAATGTGACCTGTACAAAGATGACAAATTCATGGTCTGAAAGGATGAATAATATCATGTGTTAAAAAGCCTTAGATTAGTCTTTTTCGCACATCCCTCGTTTCAGCGTATTTCGTCTTTACACACTTGTGCAATATGCCTTCATCTATCTCTGTAACATTTTCAGATTTTTTTTGAAATGTAAAAATATGAATTTTCAAGAATTTTGAATTTTGTATTTGGAGGCCTTCATGGTGCTCGGCCTCCAAAAGCAATTTCGGTATTATATTGTGATATAATTCTCTAGTTTGCTTTCATTTTTAAACATTTTCTACGCCCTGGGCCATGACATAGATAGCTTGGGGCACAGCTATGCCTTTGCATGTAGACTGACAACTAGGAGCAACATGACAGAACAAGTTCAAAACGAAAAAGAATGGTAAAACTTGGCACAACTAACACCAAATGGGTAATCCCGATGACAAACTGTGTTAAACGGTTTAATCCGTGTACAAAAAAATAATTGCAAAAACATGGGGCATAAAACTGGAATTACCCAAAAAATAGATTATGTAAATCTAACTTCAAATGCGTGAGAATCAAGATATTATAGCTACGAAATCACCAACGACATGTCTCTATGGCTGCAATTCCCCTTTGAACATAAAGCTTTTCTTCCTCTTCGGCCTAACACCTTCCGTGACAACAATACTAGTCTAGTGGAGATAATGGAAGACTTGGCTGGAGCTGCGTGTCCCGGGATTCGAACACTGAGGCAATGATGCGGCTGACAGCAGCTGGCTCGTGCTTGTGCCGGGGCGACGGGACTCCTCGGCCTGCCAATGCGCCGTGTAGTTGCTTCCCAGAGTGAAGTTGTCGGCGACGCCCATGGCCACGGCGTACCCGTATCCAGTTGGTAGTGTCTTCATGTAGTCCCCGCCGGCGACGACCTGAGCGGAGTACTCTGGCGCCGGCGTACCGTCGGCGAAGGCAGGGTAGTGCCCAAGTGTCAAGACTGCGTTGCACAACTCGTCGGTGTGCCACATTGTCAGATCAGGCCAGTCGTAATGAGCCTTGCCGGAGCCCGGCGCGAGCGTCTCGTCGACCGCGCCCGAGTAGTTGCCGCCGCCGATGCACTGGAAGCCGCACCCTGGTTGCATCTGGAAGCCATCTTCCCCGAGCAGGCCGTCCTTGTTCCCGCCGTGCCACGGCACCATCTGCAGCTGGTGGAAGCCGACGACATCCATGTCCACGGGGTTGCTTCCAATGCACGGCACGTCGCCACCTTGCGCGAGCTGCTGCGGCATGACGGCGTCGTCGGAAGCATCCGGCGCGACCTGCTCGCCGTGGCTGCCGTCGGCGTGTAAGCCCAGGGCCTCCATCCTGTCTCCCGCGGCCCGCAGCGCGGCGTCGATTGCGTCGAGCAGCTCCCGCGCCCCGGCCAGCGTCACGTCGTTGAGCGCCGCGTCCCAGTCCGCGAGCGCGGCGGGGCAGCCGTGGCGCACCCTGGCGAGCTTGGCCCTCTCCTTGCCCAGCTCCGCCTCGAGGTAGCCCCGGTGCGTGTGCTGCGCGCGGGCCTCCGGCGGGACGGCGCGGCGGTACCGCTCGACGACGCCCTCCTCCGACTCCCACACGAGAGGCGGGGCCCCGGCGCCGGCTAGGCAGACGAGCGCGACCGGGACCGCGCATAGCGTGGCTAGCTCCTTGGCCTTGTTCTGGAGCCCCTTGGTCCTCCTGCCGCACGTGGCGGCGCGCCCCCGCGCGCTCTCGACGAGCCTCATCGCGATCTTGCCGCGCGTCATTGCTGGCTGGGTGGCGGTGCGTGCGAGGCTACGAGCTTCTCTTCCTCTGCTCCTCCGATCCGATCCCGTTGGCTCGTTGCAGCTCTCCGGCGAGGCGCCTGGTGTATATGTAGATGAAAAAAAGGAAGGTTTCTGTGCGCCGGAGCCGGGCGTGGACTCGAACGCGGTGGCCCCTAGAGTGCTAGGCAGTAGGCAGTAGGCCTGTTATTAAGCCCGTAATCTTGCATTAGCTCCAAAATGATGATGTAGCCTGCAGGCTGCTCGCCATAATCTCCCATTAGCTGCGGAAAAGATTCACTTGAATCCCACGTCAGGCGCGGATTAAGGCGTAGGCCGTGATTAACCAAAATAAGGAAGGCGATGCTTGCTTGGGTAGCAAACCGTTTCGATCCCGGTGGGCTTCGGTTAAAGGAAGGTGAAGCTCAGCTTGGGTAGCAAACCGTTTTCGACCCCGGTGGGCTTCCAATTAAAGGAAGGTAAATCCGGTTTCTACTTGGCACAATTAACGCGACATCCTTGAGGTAGGTTTCCGTTTAGTACGGCCATGACCGGTGCTCGCGTATCAGGCTCAGCTAGCCCGAAGAATTCTTTTCTTTGTAGGATATAATTCGAATAATTTAGGGTGAATTTCAGACACACCTAGGCATCTTGCAGACTCGTAAATCGAACACGGTATCTGTCCATGGATGCGTACGGACGCGTTCGTGGACACTGATACATGAGCCGGTAATCCAACCATGTATGCATACATTTTTAATCCAGATTTAAATAAACCAATGAATAACATGCAAGCTGGATGGTTTTTATCTAAACCGGACAAAAAATCTTTACATTTCGGACATATTTCAACTAAACTACATCTTTTTTGTTTTTGAGGAAACTAAATTATAGCTGACTAGGCTATTATAATAAACTAGTCTAAATGGTCGCCGGCCACGACCGTTCCCGTTTCCTATGACATGTCTTTTTCATGTCCGGCAACAAGCTCACTGGCCCACCGTGAGCCCCGGAAAGTGAAGCTTCAGTGGGAGGGAAGAATAGTGGCCTCCGCCGGGCAAGCTCACCCGTAGTGAGGCCTAGCAAGACGTCGGCGGTAGCTTTCCTGGGACCCGAGTGGTGTCGGCCTCCCGTGTTCTACTCTTCCTTGCTATCAACGCCGGCGGATGTGGATGTGTTGGCCTCATCACTGTGGCAGCAGGCCACGGACAACGGTGGGGGCACAGCCGACGGGGAGATGGTGGCGTCCCAGGTCTCGTCCTCAAAATCCCACGACGCCGCATCGATGTCCACGAATAGGCGTATTTGTCCGCCCTCACGACGCGCAGCCGCCATCACTCGCGAGCGCTGCAGTAGGACAAGAGCAGTGCCAACTGCTCATCGAGGAAGCCCGGACCGTCCGCCACCTTAGTCGTGACAACATTTGTCAGTTGCGTGGTCGTCCGCGATTTGTTCCTTCGCGAGCCAGCGCTCATCGTGGAGCTGCAGGTTGTACCTTTGGTCCTCCCGCGACTGTTGGAACACCACCTCTCGTTCTTCCGTCATCATGTCGATGAAGTGTGTTTGTGCCTCACCCAAGGTGATGCCGGCATGGACTGCTGAGTGTGGTGGCACCGGCTCGTCTTCGGTCGGGTCTTCCGTTGTCTCGTCGGCGTTGCTGCCGTCCGGAGAGCTCGTCGGCAAGCCAACCTATATCCGTTTAGCTTGGCGGGGCTGCCAGCAGGCCGCACCGTCGGAGATCTGTTGCTTCTGTTCGGTGGAGAGGTTGTGATGTAGGGTAGAGACCCTATGTGGCCCAATCTTCACAAACTGGAGATGGATTTGAGGTAGAACGCGAATAACACAAGGGGAATCATGAGGGATACACACAAATCAACACAAATAGATGCAAATAAAGAGACGCATAGATAGATCCTTGATATATACTCCCTCCGTTCCGAATTACTCGTTGCAGAAATGGATGTATCTAGATGTATTTTAGTTCTAGATACATTCATTTCTACGACGAGTAATTTGAAATGGAGGGAGTATCATCCAAAAAGAGAGATGGAACAAGATATGGTTCTTTCCCAAGTCCTAGGACAAGGATGGCTTGATGATTCATTGCTTCTATGAAGCCTTTCTTCTCCACATGTGGAGGCCTTAGTAACCATGGAAGGTTCTTCTCCAAGAGGAGGTCTTAATCATGTAGGAGGAGATAGATCGCACCATGGGGAGAGATCTGAGCAAAGCTCTATGGTATCTAGTTTCTACTTTGCTGGCTCTAGAAATGGGGAGGGAAAGGGGTATTTATAACCCAAGCCACGGAAGGGTAAGCGAGGGGCAAAAAGGGAAGAGTTACAAGGCCAAAGGCCCAAATTACGCACAAGCACGTCGGATGCCCGGATCTTGGTTGGGCGCCGGATGTCTGACCGAGTAGGGCTTCTATTGCCTCTTGCCCAATTTTTGGGAAGAGGTCGGATGTTCGATGTAGCGCCGAATGTCCGGGCGGTCGCCGGATGTCCGTCCGCTGGCGATCTTCGGTCGTCAGTTGGTGTTGCCCTTCTCTAGATGGTGCTCAATGTCTGGTCACTATAATTCAGTAGCTCTGTCTTCTTTCGTTGTCGTTTTCATGATTCCCTCGTGGATGGTATAATCATTCTCTTGCGCTCGAACTCCTCCTCGCCATGTGCGAAACTCCGCTGAAACCTATGTATGCACGAGTAGGAGATTCAAGTAGTATACCATCCTCGGAGAGCACAACTAGACACATGTAAAGGAGAAGATTCACCTTTATATGTATAAAGTAGATGTCACATGTGTCACTTGGCGAAGAGACTCTTGACATGGTCTAGGATGCTCCGTGTCAGGTTCTCCCACAGTGATTTGGAGCTTGAGGCCATGGCGGGTGTGGTGCATAGAGGGGATAGGGGTGCGGAGGTGTGATGCGGCTCTTGCCGAGCCTGGCCAGGTATAAATAGCGGGTGGCGGGCTGTTTAATGCCAGCAGGTGAACAAACATGTGACGTTTGCATGCGGGCATCGAAGTGGGTTTCTCGGCAAATGTGTTTGTTTAATGCCGCCAGACGGATGGATGGGGGCGTTTGCGTGGGGGCAAAAGGCGCGTACACCGGGATGAGGCACGTGTAGTGCTCTCGGCCGTTGCGCCGCTTCAATGCGGGCATCCAGTGAGAGATCTCGTCAGCTCTAGGCCGACATGAATGCAGCGCTGGCGCTCTGGAGCGGCGCCGCGACATGAATGCGTGACAACTGCTTTTTGCGAGAAAGGGCGCGGGCGAGCGAGAGGGTTTTGGGTGGGTCCGGGGTGTCGGACGCGTGTGTGCCAGCGGTATGAAACCCGGATCGGTCCACGGATCAATGAGGTGTCTCGTTGGATGGCAGAATGGGTTTGAACCGTTCGGTCCGAACAAATGCCGGGGGTTTGAGGGTTCGTGTTGGAGATGGTAACTAGGGTTCGTATCCGATGTTTGTGCCCCTCGAAATCCTAAGCTTTATAGCCATGTATTTAACCTAACGGGGTTGGTGCTTAGGTTGTTTCTTCTGTACAATAATGTCACCAAGGGCTAGTCTTGGTTGGTGTCATTTTTTTAGCCATATTTTTTTGGAATTGTATAGCCATATATTTCAGAAAAAGTAAAGAGAAACAAAAGACTGAAAAATAAAAATAGTTAGAGCAACTCCAAAGGGCCGACCCATTTCGTCCGGCTGCGGCCATTTGGGTCGGCGCGGACAAAAGTGGCCGCCCAACGTGCCGACCCAAACCCAAATAACGTCCGCGTCGCGTCCACGCCGACGCATTTGTGGCCCAAATTTGCGCCCCAAATGCGTCGGCGCGGACGCCGAACGGACGCTTCACGCGCCTTCTCACTATCCGCCGCGTCCCCACATGGCAGCCGTCCAACTACGCGCTGCCCACGCGGTCAGCTTAATTTATGACGACGGACCCACGCGTCAGCAACGACGCTCGTCCTTTTTTAAGCCGACCGTTCGACGGGGCCGTCCTCATCCAAACTCGCCGTCCACATCTGCCCACCTTTGCTCCCTCGTCGCCGGCAAACCCTAGCCACCACAACCACAGCGAGATGGGCCTCTTCTCCGGCGCCAGCGGCAGCAAGGCCAAGGACAAGTCACCCGCCACCCCTTTCCCCTCCGAGTTCCTCACACCTCCACCGGCGCCGGCGCCTCGCCGACAGAGGCAGCGCATCAATGTGCCAGTGCGCCAGGCGGAGTGGCACTGGCAGAACCGCCAGCCTCTGCCGTATCCGGACGTGACGCTGCCACACGACTGGCATCTGGATCCAGATAGGATCCCAGTGCCGGCCGCGCCGCGGTCGACTCGTGCTCACGCAGAGGAGGTGCGGTGCCGGCGGGCGCTGCTGGCGGCGAAGCAGCGCGCCGACCCGGCCTACGCAACCGACTCACCCAACTGGGCGAGGTGGTTCGCCTTCGAGCACGAGGAGGCGAGGCGACGGGGCGTGCGCGAGGTCGACCGGAGGTTGCCGCCAACGCCGCTCGTTGTCCGCGAGGAGGACCAAGCGGCGGAGGACGCCTACCAGGCGGCCCTTGCGGCCGCCTACCGGAAAAGCGAGGAGGACGAGCGGCGCAGAGCGGAGGCGACGGAGGAGGCGGAGGCGGAAGAGGAGGCCCGGTATGAGGCAGCAATGGCGCAGGCCCTTGCCCTCTCCGCGGCGGGCGACAGCGTGGTGCCGCCGGTGGCCTCGCCGTCCCCCATCAAGCCAGAGCCGCAACCGGAGCCAGAGCCCGAGCCCATCGCGCATTTCTCCTGGAATGGAGTGGTGCACGAGTGGGTGTCCGCGCCACCGGTTTGGCTGGGGGCGATGCCGGCGCAGGAGCAGGCGTACCTCGAGATGTGGCGCTAGCGCCGGCTGGCAGGGGAGCGCCTTGACAGCGAGTATGAGGAGATACTCGAGCGCGACCTCGAGGAGGAGCAGCGCGAGGCCGAGGAGGAGGCACGCCAGGCCGTGACTGGACAGGCGGCCGCGC